ATATATATATATATATATATATATATGTATACATATACATATATATATGTATACATATACATATATATATATGTACATATATATATGTACATATATATATATACATATATATATATATACATATATATATATATATATATACATATAATCGTTTTCGTCGAGGCGGCGTAGCCTCTCTTCTCCCCGCATAGATGAGAACATTTACTAAAAACTTAAAATATTAATATTTAATTATTTTATTACAATGGTACTTCCTTTAACATATTTTGATAGATGTTCTTATATTTTCTATATTAAATTATTATAAATGATGAGCATATGTAATTTTCATCGAGTGTGCTAAACTTTTGTCAAACTAGTTGAAAGGATCACATATTTAACTATGAAAAGTTATATGGAACAAATAATTGAGATAAATGCTCGAAAAAGATTTAAAAAACTTGATTTTATGATAATTATTAATAATATTTAGACTTTATTACAACAGACAACTAATGTACTAATATTTGAAGATCAATTTAAATTTGCTGACAAGTCATTGGTTAATATATTCATGAAAAAATTGATTGAAATTCAATATGACAGTATTTGATGAATTCATGATCATATCCTCAATATAGTTAATAAAACTGTAAGCTCGAGAATATTGAGCATGAATATTAGTTGAGTCATTTCTCATACAGTTTATTCTTAATTTTTTTTCTCAATTTAGCTCATTTAAAATCCACTATAATGAAATTAAGGATAAGTAAAACTTAAATGAGTCGACTAGCATATATGTTTGGAAAGAATTAATATAAAAATAGAAAAAACTTATAAGATTTTGAGTACTACTCATGGATTATGTAACAATAAAAGAAAGTTGAAGCATAAATCACTTAAGTTTATAAATACTATTTAAACTCATAAAAAAATTTATAATAAAGTTTTACTTTTATGGTAAGAAAGATAATACGAAGGACTATAAGGTTTGGGTTTGAAATAGAAAGATATAAATTTGACCTTTGTATATTTTGAATCAAATGTTATAGAAATTAATTTTTAATACTTGATAGATTGATACTAATACTTCAACTTATATTACTAATAATAGATATTCATTTAATTATGAAAACCAAAAGAGTATGTTATATTAATCATTATAGGAAATTATCTTAAAACGAAAATGATAATATGTTATATTCATCATTATAAACAGATTTATTTTTCTTTCAATAAAGGTAAACTCGTTATGATTCAATAAAAGTTAATTTTTTCTATATGATGGCTTATACAGAATTAGTATGAATCTTAAGTTTACAATGATCATATAATCAAATATTATAAGAAAATATAATTTTATAAACTCGTTGAGACTATAAATATTTGCATTTACAAGTCATTCTATGTTTTCTGTTTTAATAGAGAGAGATAGTTTATCACCTTTCTAAATTACTTGTAGAGATATAATTATATATATCTAATTGATATAAGGTATGTTCTTATATTTTC